CTGAGGGTTGCGATCCGTTGCCGGACACGGAAAAAGACAAAAGCCAAAAAAAAAAAAAAAAAGAAATAATGCATATTTCTATCTTCTAACACATGCAAATAAATTAAATTATTATATGTCAAAGCATATACACACACACACACACACACACACACATTTTTTCCCCCCCTGGAGAAAAGTTCATTAAATTTAACTAATTCACAGCCAACTTTCCATGACCTACACTTAGGAATTTATCTAATAAATCAGCAGAATTACTGTCTAAAAAATAAAAAGATTTTTTCTTTTGGCAGCTGGCTGATATGAAGCATTTTCTTTTAAACCACAATTCTAGTCCCATAGCTAAATGCTTGATTCAAAGCCTTTTCTCCCTTCAGTTTTACTAGATTTCAAGATCAAAGGCAAGAATTTTTTTAGGCATATTTTTGTTCCTAATTCTTAGCTTAGTAGGTATGCTCCAAAAATTCTGATAAATTGTTAGACTCAAGTGATTTAAGTAGCTTTAACAGATTTGCTAAACTTGGTTGCAGGCTTAAAATGAAAAAAAAAAACTTGTGAAAACTAGACATACTTACCTTTAAAAATGACAACATTTACTTAAAGTATGAGTCTTGTAATTAGAATATGTAATTCATGAATGTGCTATTGCCAGATTAAGTATGGCTGGTGTCTGGATTATTCAGCCAGGGCAAAAAAAAGATAAAAGTATATGCACATATGTATATAATCATGTATGTGTGCAACTATCTATTGGATGTATATTACTTTTACGCTGGCTGTGCTATTTCAAAAATATCACTGACAAGACACAAAGATGACTTTTATATAAATAAATACTGAGAAACCTTTGTTTGTTCTCAGGTCCCCCTACTGTTTCTTCTATTGCAGAGTCAGTCTGCTGTTACAATCGTCCTGAATTGGGGGCTTATGAGGATTCATTCCTAGGCTTGGCCTATGCAGTGTCACTTTGAAATACTGACACAAGTGTTTTAGTACTGCTGCTACTCACTACTGTAGCAATTCTTCATACTTTCAAATATTGCACCAGCTTTTATTCCTTAATCTTTCCCAAAAGAAAATAAAAACAAAAAACACAAGTAAGGAGAGGACAGGGTAAGCGATAAAAAAATATCAAGAATGTTACTCTCTTAAATCAACTAGCAAATAATTGAATAAATAAATAAAAATAATTTAATTTATTTGAATATTAAAATCTGCTATGGTACAGAAGGTATTCGAAGCTACTCCTAAAAACCGTATTATAGCAGGAGACAATACATTCTAAATGGGAAATAATACATACTCTAAGCATTAGAAACTGAAGAGAATTTTTAACAGTCACCTAATGTTTACCCAGAAAGATTACTGAATAAGGTATACTAAATAGATTTCTGATATACAATATAGACAAATAAGTAGTTTTCTAACAAAAATTATATCTTTAGGTATAATCTTTCTTTAATAATTTAAAATATACTTAAGAATCTTGTAGTAGCTACAGTTCAAGATTATTTGATTACCAACATAGTACCATAGAAAATGTTCTTATCTGAGCTTTCATGCTATTTGAATTTATAGATATACAGGATCTCTTGCTCTATACTATAAACATAGTATAATTTGTATTTTTATCTCACTTTTTATAATTTTACAAATAACTATATCCCTTTGGTTATAACTATAATCAGCAAGTTCTGCCCCAGAACTTCATATCTCTTTTTTAGCACTTGTCACAATACACAGTACAGCTATTACAGTACTTTTACAAAACTGTTTCCCCATCAGACCACAAGTTCCTCCAAGGCAGGAGCCATGTCTTAATCATCTTAATATTATTATAACTAACAAACTATTTGACTCACAGTGGATCCTCAATATGTATGTAAAGAGAAAAAAGAGCATGTGAAAGAAAGAATGTGTGCTTGCTAAAGAACAAAAGCAAAGCTGGAGAGAAAGGAAGCAGTGAAGGAAGAAGAGTAAAAGAGAGAACAAGGGGCACAAGATACAGTACATACAAGAAGCTGGCTGTGAGCAGGAGAGGAAGAGAATGAGAGAAACTGCGCAGGAAAGGGAGAGCTCTGGAAAGAGAGAGGAAGGAGAAATAGAGTTGAAGAGGTTAAGAGAAGGGGAGAAGGAGAGTTAGAATGAGCCTGAGAGATACAGTGGTAAAGGGTGGACAGAAACAGCAAGGCAAAGGAAAGAATGAGAGAGAAGGTGTAGGCGGCAGAGAAAAAGGGGGGAAAGGAGGGGGCGAGGGCAAGTGTGGAAGGGAGAGAGCGGGACAGAGATCATCAGTACAGGCCCAAGCAACCAGGAAGAAGGAACAAGAGAGGGCGAGGGAGTTTAGGAAAAGATGGGAGAGAGAAAATGAGTGCAAGGATGGGAACAAGAGTGAGAGATGGTGAGAAAATAGGAAAGACAGATAAAGAGGGGACAGAATGTGAAACATCACTCATAGGGGAAAGGGAGAGAAAGGAGGAAAAAGATGAGAGAAAGAATCAACAAGTAAACAGGAGAGAGAAAGGAGCAGAAAAGAGAAAGGGGTGGGGAAGAGAGAGAAAGAGGGTATTAGTCCTGAGCTCTGCTTACACATAAATATAATTACATTGCAAAGTATTCTATGAGCTCAAAAAGGGACATAGTGCAAATCAAATAATGGAAAATCCATTGCTCCCCCCATGGAAGGAAAAAGCAAATTATCCCTCTAAGATGATCCAACATAACCCCTTCAGCATAAAAATACTCCAAATATTTGATTAACTATCCATATCAGTGAGATTATGGGAAGAAGTATTTTACATAAAAGCAGTACTAAAGAGGGTAAGTAACATAAAACCACATTAGCAAACAATTAATACAAACATCAAAGTACCCCTTCAAAAAGAAGAAAAGAAACATGACCATTTTCATACACTAAAACTTTCTTTTTCTTCGTCAAAAAATAGGCTAAGAGTTGAGACATTCCCCTATATAGTAACTATCTCACCTAAAATTTCTTGGTAAAATCAAGATCCTCTACCCACTAAGCAAAAGAACTTACATGCAAATAAAAGTACATATTGTAGACTCCAATTGTATACTATTCAAAAACAAGCAAAACTAATCCATGAAGTTATGAAGATGGTTACCCTTGGGGAGGAGAGTGTGAAGGAACTAGAAGAGTCATGAAAGGGGGTTTCAATGGTTCAAGTTACACAGTGTATTCAATTTGTAAAAAGTCATTGAGCTTACAAGTTGTATATTTTTCTGTTTATCTTACACTTCAATAAAAAGAGTTTTTAAAAGTCTTACCCATAAGAGAAAGCATCATTATCTCTCCATTTTGAAATAACAGAAGCTGCCAATCCAGCCAAAATGGCAGTACTATCAAAAAACATGTGAAAAGAGTCGGAAATCAAGCCCAAGCTGAAAAAGAATAAACACATTGGCATACTATAATAAAAACCAAGTCGTCTCTAAAAATCTAAGATTCAGTCTCTGTTAATCAAGAATTAACCTTCTAAAAAGACAACCTTTAAATAGAATATACATAAAGATAACAAGGATAATTTTTAAATATCTAAATAGGAAACCCTCACATACCCTGTACAAGGAAAAGCCGAGTTGCTGCTGAGAGGGGTAGAAACAAAAGCCATCTGTTGCCAGGCAAGGGGTAGAAATCTGCCCACCCACTGGTCACTAGCAAAGGTCAGCTGCCACTGAACAAGAGGTAGCAAAACAGCCATCTGTTACTGGGGAAGAGGCTGAAACCTACTTGGGTGGGCCCAGGATCTTACACTGGTTCAAAGCAAAGATTTGCTATTGTTGGATTTCTTGCTCTTCCCTCTTAATACCAGGCTTTGGAGAAGAGGGCAGGCAGTGGGGGATAGGATCCCATGAGGAGGGGGTGGGGGGATGCAGGAACATAAAGAATACTCACCATAGGCTGGCCAGTTAGCTCAGTTGGTTAGAGCACAGTGTGAATAACAACAAGGTCCAGGGTTTGATCCCTGTACCAGCCAGCCACCAAAAAAAAACACCTCACCCTGGCACTCATGTATATAGGCCTGCCTAAGACTGAGACTGCAACAGGAGAACCTAGTACCACTACCCCATCAAACCTTGAATAAAGTACAAGGCAACCGCAATCTATTGCTGAGAACACAAAGAGAGATTCCTTTGAGATGCAGGTGTGCAGGACTTGCTGAAATCTGAGAGTGAAGCAAGAACCCTAAACACAACCCTCCAGCCCTCCAAATCCCACACTAAGCACAAAGTAGTAGGAACCACTGGAAAAATTTGAAGTATGTGGCTTGTTGAAATTAACTAGCAACGACAAAACACAAAATCCAGCTGACAACCAGTTCAACTATTGACTACACAGGTTCAAAACCCCCACAATGGCCAGACAGAAAAACAGGAACGCCCATTTCTGGGCATATATACTATTAGCCTCAGTTTCTATTAATCTTTTTTTTTTTTTTTTTGGCAGCTGGCCAGTACAGGTATCCAAACCCTTCATCTTAGTGCTATAACACCACACTCTAACCACCTGAGCTAACCAGCCAGCCTTCTATTAATCTTTTAAACTTAATATTCAGCATTCAATAAATATTTATAAGACATAACAAAATGAAAAGAAAAAAAAAAAAAGACTCATCATCAAAAATTAAAGTAGTCAACAGAATCAGAACCAGAAATGGCCCAAATGTTGGAACTATCAGATAGAAACTTTAAAACAAACATGATTAATATGTTAAAGAATGTGGTATAAAGCTGCAGAAAATTCATGAACAAATGGAAAATTTCCGAAGAGACAGGAAGCATAAAAAAAAATAAGGGAAATGATAAATATTTTTCAAATTATACTATCAAAGATAAAAAATTATGTACATGGGGTCTGAACAGACCAGACACAGAAAGAAAGAATCAGGTCGAAAAAAATCATGAAAAGTGTAACACAAAGAGGAAAAGGAGTGGTTAAAAAAAAAAAAATAAATAAATTTTAAAAAAATAACAGAACAGAGCATCCAAAACCTATTAGAGTGTATCACATAAGCACTGAGAGCTGACCAACTATGCCTCTGAGTTATCAAACAGACTAAATACATGTATTTGGAGTCACTGCAGGGGGAAAAAAAATTAATGACGCAGAAAAAGTACTTAAAGGAAAATGTCTAAAAATTTTCCAAAATTCACAAAAGAAAACAAATCACAGATCCAAGAAGCTCAATGAATCTCAAACAGGGGGGAAAAACCCTACACATCTCACAAACTGCTGAACGCCTAAAAGAAAGTGAAAAATTTTGGAAAATCAGAGGGAAAAAAATTTAGATAAAAAGGAACAAAGATAAGAATTATAGCATATTTTTCATCAGAAACTATTTAAGCCAGAATGCAATGAAGCAATATCCTTAAAGTACTGGGGAAAAAAATCGTGTCAACATAAAATTCCATATTCGACAAAATATCTTTCAAAAATGAAGGCAAAATACTTTTTTTCTGACCACCAAAGCTGAGAGAATTCATTGCCAGCAGATCTGAGTTAAATGGAATAATAAAATTTTCCAAGTAGGAATAATACCACATGGAAGCTTAGATCTATAAAAAGAAATGAAGAGTACTGAAAATGACAAATATGTGGGTAAATACAAAAGATACTTTTTCTTACCTTTAACATCTTTTAATGATAATTGAGAATTTGAAAAGATGGGAAACATCAACAAAACCAAAAGCTGGTTCTTTTAAAAAATTAACAAAATTGGCAACCTTTAAGCTAGACTGACCAAGAAAAAAGGGAAAAGATTCAAATTACTAAAAGTCTGGAATGAAAGAGGGGCGTTACTACTAACTTTACAGAAATAAAAAGAATTATAAGGAAATAGTATCGACTATATGCCAACAAATTAGAAAACTTAGACAAAACGAATACCTAGAAACAATCAATCTAGCAAAACTGACTTGAAAAATAATAATCTGAATAGACCTATAGCAAGAAAAAAGATTGAATTAGTCATTTTAAAACTTCCAACCAAGAAAAGTCCAGTGCTGGTTTCACTGGTAAATTCTACCAAACATTTACATTTAAAGCACAATTAATACTAATCCTTTACAAACTCCTCCAAAAAAATAGAAGATGGGGGAACACTTCCCAAGGATAAGACCAGTATAACCCTGATATCAAAACCAGATAAAGACATCACAACAAAAGAAATTACAGACCAATATCTCTTGTAAATGTACACAAAAATCCTCAATAAAATACTAGCAAATCAAATCCAGCAATATATAAAAGGAGTATATCCTGTGACCAAATGGGATTTAACCCACAATGCAAGGTTGGTTTAATATACAAAAATCAACCAATGTAATATACCATATCAATGAAATAAAGGACAAAAACTACATGACCATCTTAATAGATGATGAAAAAGATTTGAAAAAATACAACACCCTTCATGATAAAACACTCAACACACTTGGAATAGAAGGAACTTCTTAAGCCTGATAAATGGCATCTTCAAAAAACCCACAGTTAACATCACCATCATTACTGGTCAAAGACTATTTTCCCCTCAGATCAGGAACAAGTCAAGAATGTCCCTTCTTACCACTTCTATTTAATATTTTACTGGAGTTCCAACCAGGACAATTAAGCAGGAACTGAAATAACAGCCACCCAGATTGGAAGGGAAGAAGTAAAACTATTCCTGTTCACAGATGACATGATCTTGTGTATAGAAAATCTTAAGGAATCTACTAAAAAACTATTAGAACTAATAAATGAATTCAGTAAGATTAGAGGATAAAAAAATCAACATACCAAAATCAACTGTATTCTTTATAAAGTAGAAATGAACAAAAAGGAAATTTTTTAAAATTTCCATTTTCAATACCATCAAAAAGAATAAAATTCTTAGGAATAAATAACAAAAAAAAG